GGAAGAGCCCGATGGGGTGAGAGGCGCCTGTGTGTTCAAAGTTAGGTTTATTTATCTTTAACAACTTTATTGAGGATGCGTTTACCTACCGTACAATCCACCCCTTGTAAGTGCACAACTCTGTTACTTTAATAAGTTTACTAAGTGGGGCAAGCGTCACCAAGATCCAGCTTTAGAACTTTTCTGTCTACCCAAGGATATCACTCCTGGCCCTTTGCAGTCCCTCCTCGCTCCTCCTCCCAGCCCCAGGCAACCACTGATGTGCTTTCTGACTATAAAGTTGCCTTTTCTGGATGATCCTTATGAATGGGGTCATATAGTATATGGTTACTTTCCCTTAGCATGATGTGTCCGAGATATATGCATGCATGTTGTTGTATGTATCCATATTCTTTTTTTTAGTGCTGAATAGTATTTCATTGGATGGATGGACCTCGGTTCTTATCCATTCACTAGTTAATGGACTTTTGGGTTGTTTCCACTTTTTGCCTACTATGAATAATAATTAATATGAACATTTGCATACATTTCAATCACCTTTGGCTACATGGGAACTGCCAGACTGTTTTCCAAATTGGTGACTGTACCATTGTAATGCTCCATGACTGTGTATGAGGGCACCAATTTCTTCACACCCTCAGCAACACTTGTTATTATCTACAGTTTCTAATTTATTTATTTAAAATTTTTTTTTGATGTTTATTTTTGAGAGAGAGACAGAATGCGAGTGGGGGACGGGCAGAGAGGGAGGGAGAAACAGAATCCGAAGCAGGCTCCAGGCTCCACCCTGTGAGCACAGAGCCCGGACTCAGGCTTAACTCACAAACCATGAGATCATGATCTGAGCCGAAGTTGGATACTTAACCGACTGAGCCACCCAGGCGCCCCATCTGTGGTTTTGATTGTAGGCATTCTAGTGGCTGTGAACTGGGATCTGGTGGTTTTGATTTGCATTTGCCTAATGGCTAGTGATGTTGAACATTGTTTCATGTGCTTATTGGCCATTTGTATGTTTTCTTTTTTTTTCAGCGAGGTATCTGTTCATATCCTTTGCCCATAGGTTTGTTTTTAATTGTGTTTTAAAAATATATCGATTTTAGTTGTGATGCAATGGATAGAACATAAAACTTGCCGTTGTAACCATTGTTGATTTATTTTTAAACCTAGGGAGACTTTTCAGAAAAACTAGATTCTGTTAAACCTGGCCTGGTGGTCGGGCTTTCCCTCTGACCCACAGAATGGTGGGGGCTGAGTCACCTCCTGAGCCTCGGTTAGAAAAATATCAACCAAGGTAGCTGTTGACGTTCCAGCAGTCTCTACTTCCTCTTTACCACGTCCTTCCTGCTAAAAGCCTGCTAATGCAGGTATTCCAAACACTATTATCTAAATCTTACCATTTATTCCATGTCCTACAATGAACATAGGAATCTTATGAAGGGAATAATTGTCATCGTTTTACAGATGAGCAAGCCGAAGCACAGAGTGGTCAAGTAACTTGCCCAGCATCACACAGGCTAGGACTCCTGCACTGTTTCTGTCAGGTGTGGTTGGTTTTGCCTTCACTGACCCCTGTGGTCAGGCCTGTGCGAGGTGCTCTAAGTACCCAGATGGGGATGAGCAAGCAGGTACGCCACGCAGAAAAACAGAGTCAAAGAAAAACGATTCACTCTTCTGCAGACAGAATCTTAGGGCTGGGTTCAATGTTTTTCCTCTCACAAAACATTTGAGTTCAGCTTTTTTTTTTTTTTTTTAATAAGTTTATTTATTTTCAGACATAGAGCGAGTGCAGGGAAGGGGCAGAGAGAGGGGAAGAGAGAGAATCTCGACCAGGCTCCATGGTGTCAGCACAGAGCCCGATGCCAGGCTGGAACTCACGAACCGTGAGATCGTGACCTGAGCTGAAATCAAGTATCAGACACTTAATGGACTGAGCCACCTCGGTGCCCCTGAGTTCAGCTTTGAAAGGTGCATAAGACAGACGGTTGCCAGATTTTACAAATAAAAGTATGGGACACCCAGTTGAATTTGAATTTGAGATAAACAACCAATAATTTTTTAGTATGAAACTATTTGGAACATACTACTTTTTAGTATAAAAATATGTGGGTCATACTTCTATTTTAACAATTATTGGGGCACCTGGGTGGCTCAGTCAGTTGATCGTCCGACTCTTGACTTCAGCTTAGGTCATGATCCCAGGCTTGTGAGATCGAGCCCCGCATTCGGCTCCGTGCTGAGTATGGAGCCTGCTTAAGATTCTTTCACCCCGGGTGTCAGGGTGGCTTACTTGGTTAAGAGTCCAACTCTTGGTTTCGGCTCAGGTCATGATCTCACAGTTTGCGGGTTCGAGCTCTGTGTCCAGCTCTGTGCTGACAGTGCAGAGCCTGCTTGGGATTCTCTCTCTCTCCTCTCTTTGTTCCTCCCCTGCTCGTGTGTGTGTGCTCTTGCTTTCTCTCTCAAAATAAGTACATAAACTTAAAAAAAAAAAAAAAAGATTCTCTCTCTCTCTCTCTCCCTCTGCTTCTCTACCCTGCTTATGCTCTCTCTCTTAAAAAAAATTATTTAGTCTTTATCTTATTCACGTCCCTGGGTGTCCTGTATTTAATCTGGTAATCCTCGTAAGATTGTTTTCCAAGTGGACAGGGATGGGAAAAAAGGCTCCTTCAGGTCTCACAGTGAATTCTTTTTAAACAACAAAATAACACTTGGCCTTGTTAAAACACTCAAACAGGATGGAAACAAGCAGTGGTTGTGCACCTGGTCTTTTCTGCCTCACATATTACGCTGGAGACGACATTATGCACACAGATCTCCCTCATTGCTTTTTCACGGCTGCGTAGCACTCGCTTGTCTGCACGTGGTCTTCTGGATTTCCCCGGGTCTTTTCAGATGGGTTCAAGTGCTTGAGGGGTACAGACAATGCTGCCGTGACATTCCTCGTGCATACACATCAATGTGCATTTGAGAGTGCAATCGGAGGCAAATTTCAATTGCCCGGGTGCCGGGCCTCTGCTTTTCACATTTTCGTTGCTGTTGCTGAGTTCCTTAGTAAAGGGGCTGCAGCAAACGCACAGCCACCCATGCCATATTTTTCCATCTTTTTTTTTTTGAGACTTTAAACTTCTTTGAAACCTTTTTAAATCTTGGGGTGGGTCGTTTTTATTCTTTCAGGGGCACGCGGGAACACTGAGAATATGATAAAAGCACTGACCCCGCCCCGCTGAAGGCTGTTCACCAGCGTGTGCGCACAACACGTGATCAACATTGGGTGGGTGCTGCTGTGTCCGTCTGTAGCCCCTCCACCCTTCCAGGGCTGTGGTTTTTACCCTTAAACTTTATTTTTAAAAAAATTTTTTTAACATTTATTTATTTTTGAGAGACAGAGAGAGGCAGAGCATGAGCAGGGGAGGGGGAGAGAGATACAGAATCCGAAGGAGGCTCTAGGCTCTGAGCTGTTTGTTAGCACAGAGCCTGACGCGGGGCCTGAACTCTCAAACTGCAAGACCACGGCCTGAGCCGAAGTCAGACGCTCAACCGACTGAGCCACCCAGGCGCCCCAGGTGGTTCTTACCCTTAAAGTGAAGTGAGATTTTCTGCGGAGGGGAGGGTCCTTAAATACACAGGCTGATGTTAAGCAGTTCCTTGTGAGAGAGCTGAGGATACTTGGATAAAGGAGGAGCGCTGATGTGGGGAGCCAGTGGGGAGTAGGACTCTTGGAGTAGTGGTCGTGTCACTGGCCAGGCAGTGGAGCTCTGTCAGGAACAAGGGGGCCTTTGGAATCGGACCTGAGCTTTGAATTTGGCTCTGTTGCTCACCAGCCAGGGGACCTTGACCGGTGACCTTAACCGGTGACCTAACCTTCAGGTGCTTTTATTTCTTTCACCTCCTCTTTAAAACGGGAGCTGGCGGGGGGAGGTGACACTAGCTGCCTCAAGGTTGCATGAGGATTAAAACAGATAATACAGCTCTGAGCAGAGCGCCGGGCTCACTGTTGGAGGCTGAGAGGCACTGGCTCTTCTGTCTGACGTGCAACATGTCTCCTTTAAGAGCTTGGCATCAGGCAAACCATAAGAGACTTTTAAACGCTGAGAACAAACTGAGGGTTGCTGGAGGGGAGGCGGGTGGGCAGATGGGCTAGATGGGTGATGGGCATTAAGGAGGTCGCTTGTTCGGATGAGCACGGGGTGTTATATGTAAGCGATGAATTACTAAATCCTACTGAAAGCAATAGCATGCTACGTGTTAACTAATTTGAATTTAAATAAATGTCAAAAAAGACCTGGCATCGAACGGTAATTCAGCCGGTGGTACTGGGTGTTGACGTTTTCATTGCCATCATGGGGCTTGAAGGGAGCGCTTCAGGCAGACTGCAAAGAAAGATTTGATCTTTAAAATGGGAGGTGCTGAGGGGCGCCTGGGTGGCTCAGTCAGTTAAGCGACTGACTCTTGGTTTCGGCTCAGGTCATGATCTCACAGTTTTGTGAGTTCGAGCCCCACATCGGGCTCCGCGCTGACCTTGTGGAGCTTGCCTGGGATTCTCTCTCCCTCTCTCTCTCTGCCCCTCCCCTCCTCGCTGTGTATGTCTCTCTCAAAATCAAATAAACTTAAAATAAATAAATAAAATGGGAGGCCTTGAGAGATTTGAATGCATGGTATGAACACCAGGTAGGTATTCTTACTCTAAGTTTTCTTTCTTCACCCCCCCCCCCCCAGAATGGCTTCCAGAAGAAGAACCGGCCATCCCACGCGCAATATTTTTGGTGATTTTAGTGATCTTTCCTTAGAGGATTCAAGAATGGAAGAAATCAGAAACTTGAAAATCGGTAGAAGTCTTACCCAAGTAGCACCCGGCCGCAGCAGATTTCTCAAAGGACACCAAACTATGGGTGTAAAATACTCACTCCCGAAAGAGAATGCTGTTGTGGAGGGTGGGCTCAGACTGTCTTCGGGGAGACCCCCGATCACTGCCTCGAAGCTCAGGGCCAGCGCTGCGCTCACAAAACTGGCTCAGCTGGAAACCAAGATCATGAATCGTAAAGCTCAGGCGGATTTGTCTGATGTGGAATCTGACCTGAAGACCCCTGAGGACAGTCTTCCGAGGAGCGCAGATACAGCCCTTCCCAGGAGCACAGTCGGACTTTCCTCACACAGCCCAGAGAAAACCCAGAAACAAGCCCATGAAACTCCCACGGCCGGGAGCGGCACACAGAGTGGGAAGGTCAGTAGGTTTCTAAAGAAGAGGGAACCACGCGTTGAAAATGGGTTCCCTGAAACACATTGTGGAAAAGAGAGGAGTTTTCAAACACCCAAAGAGAAAAAACCCACTAGAAAACTAGATTCTCCAGACAGCGATGAGGAGGAAATGAAAGAGTTGCTAGGAGGCTTGGTAGAATCTTCTAGAGACAAAGAAACATACACGAATCGGCGTTTCGTCAACTCCAAAGTCAGTGAGAAAGAACAAACAAAAGTATTCTCGGTAAGTTTTTACATATTCTTTTTTTTTTTTTTTACTATTTATTTGTGAGAGAGAGAGAGAGGGAGCGAGCACACATGAGCAGGGAAGGGGCAGAGAGAGAGAGGGAAACACAGAATCCGAAGCAGGCTCCAGGCTGTGAGCTGTCAGCCCAGAGCCCGACACGGGGCTCAAATTCACGAACTGTGAGATCGTGACCTGAGCCAGAGTCGGAAGCTTAACCAACTGAGCCACCCAGCCTTCCCTGCATGTATTTATTCTTTGTTTGTTTTTTTTTTTAATGTTTATTTTTGAGAGAGAGAGAGACAGAATGTGAGCGGGGGAGGGGCAGAGAGCGAGGGAGACACAGACTCCAAAGCAGGCTCTGGGCTGTTAGCTGTCAGCACAGAGCCTATCGCGGGGCTTGAACCCATGAACCGTGAGATCATGACCTGAGCCGAAATTGGAAGCTTAACCGACTGAGCCACCCGGGTGCCCCTGCGTGTATTTATTCTTAACCAAGCCTCGCGTCTGCACTCTGTGTCACAGCGCTTTATAAAGGCTTGACAGCAGCCGTCACCCGTAAGCTACTTGAGGAAGGGATTTGACAAGGAACCGTTGGGCTCCAGCCAATCACGGCTGCCTGTTTTGGGCCTGCCGCGAGGTGACAGGGTTTGGGACATTAGGCAGTTTTGCAATATCTGGAGTAAGTGTGTGCAGCAGAGGCCTGCACTTTGTATGACGGATCGTGGTGCCGCACAGTAAACTTGGGACAGCTGCGTTTCTGTTTTTCAAAATTGAGATGAAATTCACATAATCTAAAATCCACATTTTTACTTTCGTTCCTTTTTTATTTTTTAAAGTTTATATATTTATTTTGAGAGAGAGAGAGAGAGAGAGAGAGCTCGAGCAACGGAGAGAGAGGGAGAGAGAGGATCTCAAGCAGGTTCCACACTGTCAGCACAGAGCCCAACTCAGGGCTCGAACCCACAAACCGGGAGATCAAGACCTGAGCTGAAATCAAGAGTCGGATGCTTAACCGACTGAGCCATCCAGGCATCCCTCAAATTAACATTTTTAAAACAAACAGTTCAGTGCCATTTAGTCCATTCGTGATGTCGTGCCAGTGTACTACCTCTGTCTAATTCCAGAACGTTTCCATCAACCCCTGAGGAGACCCTGTACCTGTTAAATGATCATTCCTTGTTTTCCCCTCCCTCCAGCACCTGGAAATTACTAATCAGCTTTCTGTGTCCGTGAATTTGCCTGTTCTGGACATTTCACATGCACGGAATCATCCAGTACGTGGTCCTGTGTGACTGGCAGCTTTTCTGAGCATAATGTTTTCGAGGTTCATCCACATCGTAACATGAGTCAGTGTTTCCTTCCTTTTCATGGCCGAGTAATATTCCATCGTGTCAATATACTACATCTTCTGTATCCACCATCCACTGATGGGCATTTGGATCTTTTCCACCCTTTGGCTATTTGTGAATAGTGCTGTTAGGAGCATTTGTATACACGTATCTGTTTGAGTCCCTGTTTTCAATTTTTGGGGCTCTCCCTACCAGCGGAATTACTGGGTCCTGTGGTAATTCTCTGTGTGACTTACTGAAGCAGTGCCAAACTTTTCCAAAGCAGCTGTGCCGTTTTGTGTTCCCGGCCACAGTGCACGAGGGTTCCAGTTTCTCCACACCCTCTCCAACGCTGGTTATTAGAGCTAGCACTTGTTACTAGAGCCATCTTAGTGGGTATAAAGCGATGTAAAGGCTGCATTTTAAGGAGGAAAAAATCTGCCCATTTATTTTGATTCTGCTGCAGGGTCAGGCTTTCCTAGATCATGCACTCAGGGGCCTTAATTTAGAAACGGTGTAATTAACCAAATTTGTTTGAAAGCCATGTGATATTTCTGATTATTTGTGCAGTGTTTCTGGTCCCAATATTATCTTGTCTAAATGTTGTACCTTTACTTCTAGAGATGAAGAGAGAGAAAGAAAGGGGCCCAGAGAGAGAGAACTCTTTGATCGCCAATCCTTGGCCTGCCCTACTCTGGCCGCATTATTCAGTGATAAGGACTTCCTTGTCACCTGTTTGATAATTAATTTCATTTATTTCCGCCAAAGTAGGATCAGATCCCAACTCAACTAAGAATCCTTTCACTACCCAGTGAGGAACCTCCCGGCCCAAAGCCATTTCGGACATCATGTCTGCCAGCCTCACAGTCAGCAGACGGGACCCTTCGCGGCACGCGCTCAAAAGCTTGCTCCCCACAGACTCACGCTTCAGGGGACACAGCCGCCTGCACAGCATCACTGTCCATCACTGGCACCTTTTCAAAATCAGCCTCCATGACGCCACATGGCAAGCTCTCCCCTGGAAGGAGTGAGCCTGAGCCTCACGATCAGTCGCCCTCAGAAGCTGCCGATGACAGCCTGAATGGTAACCCATGGCCCTGTGCCCACCTGTCACCCTAGGCAGGAGGGGCAAGACCACCTAGAGGGTCCCTGGGGGGGGGGGAGGGTCACTGGGTATTGCCGTGGGGAATGCATCGGTCATGCCACCCCCTCTACTTCCTGACCACCTTTCCTGGTGGAGGAGCCAAGTCAGATTTTTGCTCTTTTTTTTTTTTTTTTTTTAATTTACATCCGTTAGTTAGCATATGGTACAACAATGATTTCAGGAGTAGATTTCTTAAGGCCTCTTACCCATTTAGCCCATCCCCCCTCCCACACCCCACCCCCCCAGTAACCCTGTTTGTTCTCCATATTTAAGAGTCTCTTAGTTTTGTCCCTCTCTCTGTTTTTATATTATTTTTGTTTCCCTTCCCTTATATTCATCTGTTTTGTGTCTTAAAGTCCTTACATGAGTGAAGTCTTATGATATTTGTCTTTCTCTGACTAATTTCGCTTAGCATAATACTCTCTAGTCCATCCAC